TGTCTTCGGAGGATTCCATACGTTCGCAGAACCAAATGGTTGCTCCGATAGGATCTGAGAAATGATCGAAGTACGTGTTCGTACATTTTCTTCATCCACGAGCTTGGAATTTCATGACAAACAATGTCAAAGACTTCGTCAATGGTTAAACGTTTGGTTGGGTCCAAAAGGTGGTAGTCGAGGAAGTTCTTCGGTGTTCATCCGACTTGGGTTGTTGACATAAGCCGAGTAGACATATCGCAAGGCTTACGCATCTTGCGGCGCATAAAGCGTTTCTGCTTTTCAAGAGCCTTGTAGGGACAGACCGCTTCGATACAGGCATTTATGCAACACGTAATGTCAGCAATCGTCCAAAGCAGGCTGAGCTTCTACGTTCCAGGCAGCCTGAAAACGTACTTGGAAAGCGGCTTCGTCTTCGCCGCTACGTACATCGCGTGGAGCAATCCCGTAGACTGCAATCTGGCGCAAAGCTTTCCAACGTATTTCACGATGGCCTGCACAGCTAGATTCGTAAACGCTCTTGCAGAGCTAGAAATCATCTCCTTGAGGAGGTTATGTTTGTCGCCAAGCGTAGCAATGGCGAGACCAACAAAGACCTTCTCCATAAGTCCAGCCCACTTGATGAGTCGACGTTGAGTCTCATATCCATTGATGTTTTGGACCTTGAAGGTGTACATGGCGCTGTTAGCATCTGCAGGAACAGTGCGAAGTTTGAAGGTGGTAGAGCGAGAATAGTCGATTTTTCAGGCATTCATACATACGAGGTCAGATGAGAGGAGAGATTGGTTTTGTCGCGCAACTTAGACTCGAAGCTGGTGTATGCGTGTTTGGCAATCTTCATGGTGAGGAATGTTGAGGGTAGCTGAAAGCTCTTGTGTTAGTTAACAAAATGCACTACGCTAAAAGCTAGTGTAAAGATCTTTCGAGTGTTTTGAGTTTGAGAGAATGAAAATTAGAGAGAGATTAGAAAGCTATGAAACTAATCAACGAGAGAATCCCACATCAAAGGATCTTAGTTCTGGCTAGATCTGAACTCCCGCGGGAGACTGTAGAGTGTGATAGATATGGTTGCGGTAGCAATCCTACTCTACTCCACGATCAAAAACGGAACGCGTGGAAGATTCGTCTAGCCATTTATCTAGTAGCGTGGAAAGTACTCCACGCTGTTAAATATCTAGAGCGATGTTCATCATCAACCTAGTATGACTAGAGCGTCATTGAGAACCCTGTCTCAATGACTATCACGAGAGACTCAGTCATGAGTCGAACTCAAACCCTATCTAGGATCGAGTCGCGAATAAGGCTAAGAGCCGTGTATTGCACTACACCTTGCGAACAAAACTCCTATTGACTGGTACACCAAATTACAGTCTACCGTGGAGATCGCCACATTCGGTTCCGAATACGTCGCTGCAAGGACTGCTACAGAGCAGATCATCGATCTTCGCAACACCATGCGGTACCTCGGAGTGCCCATTGAGACGTCTACTATGATGTTTGGAGATAATGAGTCAGTCGTCAACACTGCGTCAATGCCTCATTCCAAGATCTTGAAGCGACACAATGCACTCTCGTACCACAAGACACGGGAATCTATCGCTGCGAAAATTCTCCGTTTCCAACACATCCCATGAGAGCATAACCTTGCCGATATCCTCAGTAAACACTGGGATTACTCATCGGTTTGGTCACAGCTCCAACCCTTATTGTTTTGGAAAGGAGATACTGTCCCTCTCCAAAATCGAGCGCCCCCTATAACCGTCGACAGTTAAAAACAGGTGAATAGAGAAGACACCCATGACTAAACTCGGGATCAACAACAACAAGCCAATGCCGACGACGACAACAGCAACATAATCCCAACCCAAGCGTGAATAATGTCACACTTCACGCTCCCTGAGGGTGTGGGGATTTGACGTTTTGGGGTGTTTTTGACAGAATTCTACGAAAAAATGAAACAGTTTTTCACTCTATGTCGATTGCGACACAAATGTCGATTTCGTCTTGAATTCGTCTGTCTAAAAAAAACGTAGTAGAACTTTGTAATACCATGTGTCAATACTACGGCTACTAAAACAATTGTCCCCGTGAAGCAAGACTGATTTCTGTGACATGAGAAGAACAGTTTTGTGTCACAGAAATTTCACGCTAACTCTAAGGTTTCTTTAAGTAAAATGCAGGAGAAACAGAAATTGCGCACGACTCGCTTTCAAACACGAGTTCATGATTTTCATGACAAAGAAATTGGTTTCGTGGCAGTTGGCTTTCTACTGAGGTCTACATGAAACCAATTTCTGTGAAGTTTCTGTGACACGGGGACATTTGTTTTAGTAGCCGTAGTATCGACATTGTCGATTTCGATGCAGAGTGACGTTTCCATCCATGACTGGTTTTTCCCTGAAACGGCACCAAAATGAGCTACTAGTAAAACAGGATAACGGGAAAACCATTCCCTGCAACCTCCGTCGCCCCCCATCCGACCATGTCGTCCCCGGGAGGTTTAAGCGCCTTTCCATCCCATTTCAAATCTTCTTCATTTGACAATGGCGCTTTTTATGTGTAATGAAACAAAGATAACACGACAAGTATTCGAACTCACAAAAATAAAATATAGTGATACTGTCTAGAATGAATACGATACTTCCAATTAGACTTTGGGTGACGACATTTTCTCATTGTCATTGTAGTGTATTTATTACCCCTTCTTCGCAGGGCAAACTGGCATCGGCAAGTCACCGCCCCGCGGCAGCTCAATTCCCATGCCCTACGATCCCCTCTCGTCTCTATTTGTTTGACGAGTCGTCAGACACTACTAGTATGCCGCCAAAGCTGTCTTCCGTGATTTCAGGACCACCCCAAGAAACGTCGGAAAGAACTGACGAATTTTCGTCTCCGCTCCCTCCAGTGAGGTGGAACTCTTTATCCAGCAATTCTGCATCAAAAAATTTGTTTCGTTCATTGATGATGTGTTCGACACCATACTGGCTGATTTTGTGTCCTAGCACTGCCTCTCCAATTGAGTATTTCGATGGGATCCCCGACAAAAATGTCTGGGCAGACTCGTCGTCCGGAGGCGAGCAACAGGTGAGCAATTTCTTGTCTTTAGTTTCTTCGGTGAGACCGGACCAGTTCACAGCTGCCTTGAAACTAAGTAAGCTTGGGTCGGGAATCAGCTTCTTCGTGTCGTCGCCACTGTAGAGTTTGCCCATGTCAATCTTGAAGAATTTCTTGCGCTGCCAAAGCCCAATCCCATTCCTGGCAGGTTTAAGCTTTGACACTTCGACCGTAAAGCTTTGTCCCACTAGCAATTCTTTGGCGGACTTCATTTTTTGCTTCTTGTCTGAAAATTCAGGATGATCACTATCCACTTTGTCAAAGTAGCTGTCCCAGTCTTTGATCAACGAATCTGCCAGCGCTTTGACGTGGGCATTCAAGACAGTAGTGGCCTGTTCGATATCACCATTACGTTCCCAGAATATGTGATCAAGTTTAAACCGCTTTCTCCACTTGCCCAAGTTCGCTTGGGAATCTGGTGTGCTGCAGCAAATCAAGGCTTGGTAGCCATCACCCTGCTTCCATTCTCCAATCTCCTCCAGACTGAGCAATGGTATGATCATGACGCACTGACTGCACTCACCATCCCACAGGAGGTCGTAAAAAGAATTGTGCGGATTCGCAAAGGCAAACAGATTCAACTTGAATTTGCTTAGCCATCTCGCCATTTCGGTGCGAACAAACTTCTTTTTCTGCTCGTCAAATCCAGACAGGTCCATTCCGCCTGCAACCTCGCACACGAACCCCCAGAACACATGGCATGCGGAACTAGATGGCACTTGGTGCGCTCGGGTTTTGGTGTGCTTCCCTTTTTCTCCGAACATATTGACGACGTTCTGTGCAGCGCGCCGCTCATCTTTATTGAGCTGTTCCGTGTTGCGTCCCTGGGGTCCTTGACCGCTGAGTGAGCTGGTGAGATTTATCCAGATTTCTTCGACAGTCTTCATAAAATTCTCCACAAAGATATCTGCTTCTTTGGTATCTTCGTGCTTGTCCCAGGCTTCACAACAAACCTCCGCCAGTTTCCGAATATCATCGGGTGCTTTCCCTCTACGATACTTGGCAAGTTCCTCAAAGGCGCCGTCGAAAGACACGAATTCGGACTGCCAGGCGTCTGAAATGTATGCAAACAACACTCCATCATTCGCATCGTCCCTCTTCACTGGGTTCAACTTGAGTCGTTTCGATTCACTATTCCCCATTTTGTTGATGGCCGCACTGTACGCGGTTGGTGTTGAATTCCACTGGATAGCCTGTGGAGCCTGGTAGGAATGTACTTTAAAGTACTGTAATTTACACAGTAAGTCTCTGCTGCGCCCGGATGGCATCCACTGAACTGGTGTTCGCAACATCATCAACACGTTCGTTCGGAAAAACAGCTCCACATGTATGTATGTAATAAGGCTGGTAATAAAATAGAAACCTCCCCCCAAGCGTCCGGGGTCTCGGTTGACGTACAGAAGATCCAAATAAATCGCACCTGTAAAATAACTACTGAGGGGTACGTAGGAATTCATTTATTTTCGGTCTCGATTTCTCGCTTTCATTCCAGAAATACTCAACATTAGGCACACCATTTAAATCCTTGAGTTTTGGCGATTTCGAATCCGTTAAGTGCGTTTTAGTCACGAAACACGACTGATCGGACGAAGGACGGACGTTGTCCAGGATTCTATTTTGCCAGTCTTATGTGAGTCCTTCAACAATGTTGGTCGCTGCCAGATCAGCGAAATGTGTAGCCCGATTTTCGGCCGGCCCCGCTTGCACCGTGCATACACAAGCATACTCCGCGTTGCAAACTATTGATATTGATAGCATGCCAGGCGAGCTTGTGTATGTTGTGTTCACAATTTCCGGAAGGATCAGAGAATAGTCTCATTGTTGTAGAATAACTGTAAAGCTCATTAAATAAAGATTTGTTGTTCTCAATGGACTCATTACACAAGATGGAGAAAATGTTAGAAAGCGCAATGCGTGGTGTGGAAGATGTCGTTCCCAAGGTTACCAAAAGAACATCCGAAGAGGAGGCAACGTTCGTGCGGTTGGAGAAGAAGAAAGAGGGAGAAAATAAGGAGAAGGTTGCAGACGAGGAAGACAATGACAACGACAGCAAAGAGGAAGAAGAGCCGGAACCTGTTCAGAAGAAGTCGAAACCACAAGAAAATGTAAAGTCGGAACCGCCAGATAATGACGATGTGGACTGGAGCTATTATAGATCACGGAACCAGGAAGAATGGAGTGGCCGTCCTCCTCCATACGATCCTCCATACTCAGAGTACTACCCTACTTCACACAGAAGGCCTTACGGATATAGGGGGTATTATGGGGGCGGAGGCCCTTATCAGCGAAGACCATACTATGACAGACGTCGTTACTATTGGAATTAAGATACTTGTTACCCTCTAGGAAGACAGTCGGGTCTATCTCATTGTCGCAGACTTCAAGGGCCATCGTTGCCTCGCTTTCCTTGCGTCTCAGCACCACGTAACCCCGGCCGACCGATTTATTGGTCAGAAAATCCGCCATGGTCAGAAACGTACGAAGGTTGACATTGGTCAAAAAGAAGAAGTAAATGCTACTGCTAGTGTCGCTCATCTTAAATTGTGTGTTATTCAGTCCAAGGGTCGGCTAAGATCTTTAATACTAAATCATGTATCGACTTTCCTCAAATATCTGAGAATGGGTTTTGTTTCTACCCATCTTCTTATTGAAGGCGAAAGTTTATCCAGTGCGTTTGGTGGAGTTCTCCTGCGTGGTCTAGGTCGTCTACGTTCATATGTGTGGTTGTAGACGTAATGTTCAAAATCGTGCGCCATTACCTATAAGCCAAACAGAAGAAAAGGAGTGAGAAAATTTAAAATAAAATCTATGAGGTTATGTTATCTACATACTGATCAATCGGTTTACTCGATAAATGGTTCTTCAATGCATGGCTTGAAGCTTTCCTCATAACACCAGTGACATACCTCTCGGCATTCGCAGATTCTGATTTACCCAACCAAGTTGCCACCGCATTGCTTATATCAGATAATAAACCTTTGTTTGCATCCGAGCGCTTCTCAGCTTCAACAAACTTTTTGTACACTTTATTGATGGTGTCTTGAAGACTGTTTGGAAGGTTTGATTGCGTTGTCATTTGGATGGTTTCGTAAGCAGGCTTTGGTGGGGGTGTGAAACCTGGGGCCAAGATCCTCCAGACTGAAAATAAAGAAGAGTCGAAGGTCGCCAACGAGGGGAGTGCTAACGAGGCGTTTTCTCCCACGACTCAGAAGACCAGTGACTCACCCCAGTCGGAGGTCAAGGGATAGAGTTCATGAGTACCGGAAGAGCGCGCATAGTCTGCGCAGCATATTCCACACTGTGGTCCACGATGGATGCACCGTGGTCCCATTTAGCACTCCTGTCTCAATTCTACCCGAGTCGAATAGGCGCCATGTTTGAACCAAAAGCCGATGCCGGCTTGCGCCGTTCTGTTTCTATCAGTCCGAACCTTGACAACGAAACCCAATAGACTTGATAGATCGTAATGCTCATAATATTCTCTTTTACTGTTTGCCATTGCACATCTTCCAAAGGTCTAGTCGAAGCTAACCACGCTACGACGCCAGCCCAAGGAAGGGAGATCATCACTTACGAAATAGGATTTCAGCACCTCTACAAGAGCTAAACCTCTATGCTCACAGAGACTCCCTTCAAGATGACCCCTATTTTGGGCTGATCTACACTCTACTGGCTGATGGCTGTGGTAACGCCAACCTCTTTCCCAGATTCAACAAGGAAGCGACAATCACCAACAAGAAGGACAAGACGGCATCCCGTGTCGATGTAGTCTGGCAGCAGTGCCTCAACACTCTCTACAAAGAATTCAAATCCCTATCGGAGACTGTCAACGACAAACTAACCTGCTACCATGGGAGGAAAGGTGCAAACCAGAAGCTTGCTGAAACCAATTCAGGATTGGCACAGGTTTTCCGCGTCGGCTGGGAGCTAAGAGGAGTCCACACACTCTTTGACTATGTCATTGGTTCAAAGACTCTAACAAACCAAGCTGGCAAAGCGCTGAGTGGATGGACGCGGCGACAAGACAACCAAATTATTGGAGGTGTTGCTCCAACATTGACATCCATCCATAGCAACCCAGAGCTGGTGAATGATTTTGTGCTAGCTCTATTCAGTGAAGACATCGAGGACAGATGGCTTACAAGCCTAAGGAACATACTCACCGCCTCACTCCTCAGGCACCACGATGAGTTCATCTATATCATCGAGCAACACCCAGACAAACTCTACGAAGACAATCAACGCCATGCTTTTGTCTACACTATCCACAAGGCTTTACGCTTAGCAAAGGTCCCCAACGACACCTTCAAACTCTGGTGCAAAGAAGTCTGTCATGGCTTTGGCATCAACAACTTCATGGCCCTACCCATTGCTCACCTACCCCCGGATGTAGTCCGAGACACAAAAATTGATCCCTGGTCCTTGTTCGACCGGTATAACAGCCTCTGCAGCTCTTACAACTCCCTATTTGCCCAGAAGATGAACCTTGAAGAGGATGATGTCTCCCGACTCCGCCTTGATGTCGCCCATCTAACACGCAGCAATGATTGTATCAAGCAGGAACCCATTGGGGTTAAAGAGCTCCTCTCCAGAGCTGTCAACGTGCTTGAAAATCAAGTTCAACAAACAAACCAAGTCAGCAGCGCCACCACCACCTGCGGACATCATGCTCTTTTCAGACAACCAGAAGCGATGGAGGAAAGATCTCTCCCTCCAGGAAACATTCATCAGGTATTTCACAGACCAGTGTTTTGAAGGCTATCAACTTGAGTTGAACAGCAGTGAGTTCAAGAAGAAGCTAAGAAGCGAGAAGAGTCAAATGCACTACGCTAAAAGCTAGTGTAAAGATCTTTCGAGTGTTTTGAGTTTGAGAGAATGAAAGTTATGAGAGAGATTAGAAAGCTATGAAAACTAATCGACGAGAGAGATCATCATCAAAGGATCGTAGATCTGGCTTCCCGCGGGAGACTATAAAGTGTGATAGAGTAGGTTGTTGGTAGTAATCCTACGTCTCTCCACGATCCTAAAACGGAACGCGTGGAAGGTTTGTCTAGCCTGATCTAGTAGCGTGGAAGTACTCCACGCGGCTAAATATCTAGAGCGATGTTTCATCATCAACCTATATGACTAGCGCGGTATTGAGAACCCTGCTCAAATGATATTCACGAGAGACTCGTCATGAGTCGAACTCAAACCCTATCTAGGATCGAGTGCCGAATAAGGCTAAGAGCCTTATTGCATTCGCCCCCTGACAAGGGTCACAGAAGGGCGACAGCAGTCGGACAAGAAACATATGATTTAAAGGGGGGCACTCTCATGAGATTTGGATGTAGACATGTGCGTCGCACGATGGCAATCCTACAAGGGGATCAGGCCTTGTATGGGTGTATATACTTATGTTCCAAGTCGGTAGACTGTGCCGCGTTGGCGGTAGCATGTTGGAGCCGTACAGTGCCATTGTCATTGACTCGTCTATGGTGTAAGGACCTTTGTACTTTGGCTGACGTACTTGCGGTGCTGATACTGTTGAATCATCACAGTATCGTTGACATTGTATTATGAGGGACACGCGTTGCGTTTTCCCATCGTTGTTTTGTTGGATTGTCGTTGGCGACGTTCCTAATGTACTTCCAGTTGGCTTCGAACCGGACGTTGTGAATCGCGTCACATTGAACACGAGCTGTGCGGGCGTTGCACGCAAGGTGGTATGAATCGTGGCATTCATTGCAAAGCGAACGCCGTGAGGACTCATCCCAGGATCATTCACGAGTCGTCTTGGCACTTGATGTTTTTGAACAGCGATCAAGTTACGTATGGTTTGATGAGCACGCTCGCCATAGAGTTGGCTTGAGGTTACGCGTGGTATGAACTTGCGACAAGTCCATATTCATCCCGGAGTGTCTTTTCGACCTCTGCGCGGAACTCACGTCCTCTATCCATGATAACCTCAGCAGGCCATGGATACGGTAAGCCACGTTTGTTCTAGGACGATGGCTACTTCGTCTGCTGCCTTGGAGCAGATCTCTGCAATCTCGAACCATCCGGTTACGGGATCAATCATTGTCAAGCAATGAAATGTGCAGGAATTCTTTTTCTTGGGATCCCCGACGTTGATAAGGGGCCTATCAGGTCAATACATAGTCTTTCCCAAGGGATTCTCCTCGCAAGTCTTGTGGAGTGCATCATATCCCAGCTTACGCGTCTTGGGGTTTGTTCATCTGGCAGCTTTTGGCAACATGCTGACATAACGGCACTGCACAGTCTTGCGCAACCTTTCCAGGTGTAGTGTTGGGTGTGGTTAGTTCTGTGCGATCTCGGCCAGGTGCATCAGCACACAATGGTACCATTCAACTAGCTTTTTCGCATAGTCTTTAGGTTACTACGATTTTCTCGTCCTTAACTACTAAGTGTAGGACTTATCCCCTCTGGGGAAATTGCTTCTTGTAGACGTTTGGCTTGTCCTGAGGAGCTTCTTGATATCGTTGTCGTCTTATCTGACGATGTTCGATCTCGAGAACGAGAGAGGGAACTCGCTAGGGAAGTCCTCTCGTACTGCAGGCCATGAGTTCAGCGATCTCGCTGTGCGCCTCATCTGTTCTGAAAACAAAAAACGCCGTCGTTGTTGGAGATGTTAAGTCTCGACAACGCATCAGCGACAATGTTCTTTCCCCTTGATTACCTTAGTTCAGGCCGTATTCTTCCAGAATAAGGCGCCAACGCATTACGCGATCGGTATTGAAAGTTCTTGCAGGTTAGAGATTTCTTGTGGTCCGTATTGTACGACGATCTTCTGTGCCCAGAAGAATGTTACGGAACTCCCCCCCCCATCTTTAGAGTTTCCTAACGATACTAGAGAAGTTCCTCTCGTAACTGTGTAGACAGTGCTCTGATGCAGGAGTTGAGCTTACTGATCTCTCTCTTT